TCTCTCTCTCTCTCTCTCTCTCTCTCTCTCTCTCTCTCTCTCTCTCTCTCTCTCTGCCTCCCTCCCTCTCTCTTGGGGTCTTCCGTATTGGGTGGTGGGAGAGAGCGTCGAGAGCCACACGTGAAATGGTCGTCATGTATTGCATCCACATGTGATGTGTGGTGCGGCCTTTATGCATTATTTTCATATGCTCTGCGACAAGATATGGCAGAGTTCTGCCACGCCTGTATTCTTCGCCAGCGACTGCTGAGTAGGCAGGTTTTTCAATCGCGGCTAGGGCAGGACCGCATGCGAGGTGACCCCTAGTCCTTCGACATTATTAGTAGTACCGTTTGTTTTTATTTCTCCGGAGCAATATTTCCGGCGCGTCCGCATGTTTCGTTTTAGAAGCTAGAACGGTGAAACGCATAGCACATCTGCACATCTGCCTCCGTCACGCCGATGTGACCTCTTCTACTCGGCTGCCAAACCTCGTCGACGTGCCCCATGTGTGTGTCCCACCACTGCTGCACGGCGACCGGTTCGTGTTCTTCTGCCTTCCTTCGAAACCCTCAGTTCGATGGGGTAACGCTAGACTTGGCGCAGTCGTGGGAAAACGGGGAGGAGATGGCGCCCATTTTCAGCGGAGCGTGCTGGGCGGGCACCGTGGTCTGGCCGGCTGCGCTGGACCTGTGCGACTACATGAGCGAGCACCTTAGACAGGCGTTGGTGGGGGCCACCGTTGTGGAGCTTGGCTGCGGGATGTAAGCCGAGGTTCAGGCAGAGCATTAGATTAGCACCTAGGTTTGTTGTAGGACGTTCATCGCTCGCTCTTGCTTGCAAAGGGGCGCTCACTACTCTGTTGATGGCAATGTTGCGACGCCATCCCATGAAAACGCTTGTCGAGGTTGATCTTACACCCAGCTGATGCAACGCCAGATTACAATTTGTGTTGCGCGTGCCCGGGTTTTCAGCTTGTTGCTTCCCTACTCAGGTACGACTCACACACGACTTTATCGAACACACGAAATCAGCCCTTCCTCCCCAAAACCACAACAAACGACGACGACACCCCACACTCCCTTGGTGCTGACACACGTTCCATGCGACGAAAAAAGCGGCGTGCCGGGCATGGTTGCCCGCCTCCTCGGGGCTACCGTTGTCCTCACCGAGCAGGACGAGCTCCTCAGCCTCCTGGACAGAAATCTCGACGGCAACTTCGCGGGGCACCCGCGGGGCGAGGGCGGCATCCGGAGAGAAGCGCTGGACTGGGAGAGGGAGGCGGACACGGATGGCCTTCTTGCCTCCATGGAGCGTTCTGGCACTGTACCGGGAGAAGCAGAGGGTGAACCGGGAGCGGGCGTGCGGAGAAGGTCGACGCGGCTCGACTTCGTCCTCTGCGCAGAGTGAGATGGCAACTACTCTCAGTGATGTGTCTGTAGCTCATGTAGTCGGAGGTGGTGTGGTTCCAGAGGCCTTGTGATTGAGGTTACAACCAGGGTTCACTTATAGTAGCCACGTGCTTGTTTAAGAATGTGCATCTACCGCGGCAACATGAACAGCAGATGCGAATCGATCTGTCCGCAGCAAATAGTGTCCGCACTGCTACGCATGTTTCGTCAATTTGTGAGTGCATGCAAGTGCCGAACTATTCCTAAGCAGGGCCCTACTCCTGACGCAAGCTGCGCTAGAAGCCTGCCGGGCACAGCGAGATACTGCGACAAGTCTTGGAAATGTCAACCGTGAAGCAGCATCACTACCCAAACCGAAACGTGCCATTCTGTCCTCTTTCTCTTCTCATCACGTCTGCTGCGGTTGGTGGCGAAGCTGCGTGTTCGAGCCGCTGTACGGCGACTCCTGGAAGGCGTTGGCCAAGGTGACGTCATCATCCAGGATTGAGGCTTTACTATATATATGGAAGCCCTAGACATGGTTTGTTGGCATTGAAAGCACTCATTTCTCGCCAAAACCATTGCTCTTCTCGTGACACTGTAAGCTGGTCTGGGGTCGACGCACAAGTTTTTTATGGACACCAAAAGGCTTTTCATTCGCTTTGGCGACGAGCTATTCATTGTTCGTGCCGTGTGAAGCTGCAGACGGCGTTGTCGGGGGGGGGGGGGGGGGGGGGTACTCATAGTCGTGCATGCCGTAGTCGTTAGACCATTGACCTCGCATCCCTACAAAGCCGGGACGGAGCACGCCGGGTTCTCACCGGACCAGGCTCTCTCATCGCCAAGAGCGAAGCGCCGTGAGATATTCGGCGAGCCGCATGAAGGGTGCGCTGCAT